TATATATATATATATATATATATATATATGCACCTAAAGAAAGTAGGTAAGTATTTTTTTAAGTGGGTGAGTATTATGGCAGCAGCAAGTCTGAATATAGAAATCTTAGGACTGGAAAATTAGATTTTTCTGGTAATGAATTAGAAATCATGGATGTGATAGGTTACCTGAAGAGAATGGAATTTAGTTGGACCAAATCGTTGTTGGAAGCTTTAATGCTGTTGTGGTCCTCGACGAGAAAGATACATTGGGATCAACAAACATGAAAACCACTCATCAGGCATTGACACTTCTTAAGAGTGATTCAGTTCATCTATTGAATATTAAAAGGAAATGGTTCAACAGTTGAGAAGTTAATGGATTAGACAGAGATCTGCAAGATTGTTAATCTAGGAGAATCCTGTTCAAGCCTAAAATCAACAACAAAAAGCAAGATTTGTCAAGGACTAATGCCACAAATCCATGAAAAATGTTCGTAGCATCTGAATTCGAAGCATAGCTCTCAAGAGTATTATAGTTTTTTAAGTTTTGTATGGTTGGACCATGAGGCCAGAGGAAGGATATTAATAAGATTCTAAGGTTTTATTATAGAAAAAAAAAGGATGATTACTTTAAGAGGATCAACCTCTTTGATCGCTAGCAAAAGTTTAAATCTAGTGATGGAACAAAGAATTTAAATATGAATTTAAATGAAATAAAACTTTTCTTTCTTCAATTATGGAACTGTAAGCACAGAATATTGCATACTGATATATTAGATGAGTATTTCATCTGTGGGATCCAAAACTAATTACTTGTGTCAAGGCTTCTTTGCATCACTTATTTTCTGTGCATTAGATAAAAAGGGTTCTCTTTTCTATCTGTTTACTATCATGCTTTTTTATTCTTTATTTTACAGGTCAAACAGTGTTCAACAGTTTAGATATACAAGGAAACCATGTTGACATCTTCAATTTGGTTTTTTGCATCATTGGAATTGTTTTACCATAAATAAATTTGAGCACGAGTTGATGTGTTTCACAAAACCATAGAAACTGGAATGGTGCTATATCTTTCAAGAAACTCGATAAAACTCAAGAAGACTGGGAACAAGAAGAGCACACCATCAGAACTGTTCTTATCCATGGAGTGAATCAGAAGATTCCATATTACTCTGGCAATTTTAGCTGATCCAATTTGTCAAATTAAATACCAAGGATAACCTTTTAAGCATCCACTTTCTCAAGTAGTTGAATGGAAAATTGATAGGGGTCTAATTTCAACACCAAATCAAAGTTGCATGACATGAAATGGTACAACATACAGGACTCAAAACTTCATAGCCTTTTGTAAACCAACTACTTGCATATATTAGAAACAAAACTGAAGGATTTACATGAATTGATTTTCCATCTTCAGGCCTCTTTAGTCCTCGGTCACAAAATTATCCATTGCTCGAAGTAGCTAGGAAAGAGTATTAATCTGATCGTGCTCAGTCATGTACCCGTATTCTCCCCGACAATTTAACTGGAAATGTTTAGGAACTATACAATAACAACAACTGTTGAACAGTGAAAACCCGTTACAGGGCAGTCATTGAACTCTTGGCCTGACAAATGCCGCTACGAAACATGCAGCAGTAGATCCAACAACCGAAACAAGAACCACAAAACACTTTCCTGCCACAAGAGCGGATGTAAAAAAAGCGCTAGATGTCAAGAAAGTAAAATTATTTACAGAATCAGGTGGCTTTGTTAGTAGTAGCTGGGAATTATATTCTTTAATCTTCATTGTCATAATCCTCATCCTCATCTATCTGCATGGTTAATTGTACAAGTCTTGATGGTTCTATGCTGATGTTGTCCACGCCACCAGGGAGAGGCCAAGCTGAACATTGTTCTTGCTTTGTCTCCACAGCTGAAGTTGCAGATCCATTCATGACTGGAGTTGAGGAAGGAAGAGCACTCTGATGACTGTTTTCCTTCGTTCCTTCAGGCTGCCCCAAAGGGATTTCGTCATGATCACCAAACATGCTACTGTCATCCTCAAATTTCATATGTCCTACATCTCTTGCCCTTGTAGGTGGCCGTCCTCTACCTCTTCCTCTACCCCTTCCACGTCCTCTAGGGCTAACACTAGTATTCGTCATAGCCTGTTGTAAAGTATACTCAGCTATCAGAGAAAGGAACAGAACTATGACTTTGCAGAAACATCAAGCAAATACTATTATACTACCATCTTGGAGGACCTCAACTGGCAATTCTCATTGCTCTCAACTTCATCACCATGTGGTAGTGTCTTCCTGAGCATTTTCTGTATTAATCAGTGCTTTATCATCGATAAGAATAGTACAAAAGGTAGAAAATGGACATGATCGACAAATTACCTTCTACGGCAAATTCCTTTTTCATCTTCACAAGGTTCCATGCCACCAAGGTTTGGTACCTTGTTGACAACACCAGTTAAGAAATCATAAGCACTATAAGTCCTCACACATTGTTTTCTGGAGAGCTCAGGAGAAGACAATGATAAACTATTACTAGTGACTTTCACTGGTCCGATCAGACACAAACTTGTTTAATTTTCTTAACATAATATATGAAATAAATTTTCAAACATAAGATGTAAGATAAATTTTTTGAACATAATATATAAGATAATTTTTCCAACATAAGATATATCATTTCAAATGTAATAAGTGAAATATGTTATAAAAATTTGCAAAAAGAATAGGGCTAGTTCAGGAATATGTTAACAGCAAATTTAAGTTACAACCCACATAAAAAGGCAACATAGCAAATGAATGAATGCAGAAATAAATCCTAGTCAAGGTCAGCTCATATTTGGGCATATCTCTCTTTTTGTTGTGCAATTGACCACACCTGAATGATGTATAAAAATCTAAGGTTGACCATATAAATCTTCTCCATCTATTTATCACTGCTGCTTCTAAACATAACTGTCTTTGGACTTCCATTTTATAACACATATTGAATCGATTTCCAACCTTACTTCTCACATAATGTTCTCAGCTAACAAAAGATAGTCAAAATTTCGTCAGCTAACTGGAATAGTTATGTATTGAATTTCACATGCAACAACTTCATAAGATCACTCGAGACTGGTTGAAGGACTACTCTTTAACTTCTGAAAATATCAAAGTTTCCAGGTTCGCCAAAGAGTTAGATCAAACTTTATGGTGTCAAATCCTCAAAATTCAGATCCTATCCCCCCAAAATGCTTCCAACTGAGAGCCTGATTAAACACATCTCTGATGCAAGGTGGAAACAGCAAGTATGCTAAAAGCTAAGTAGAGACGAATCTCATTTGGTCTAAAAGCAGAAACTATGACAACTACTAGATGAGTTCATGTTAATTCCAGAAACACAATGTACCAATAAATGTAAGCTTCCAACCTCCATGCACTGCCATTACAGTCGTCGGTCTCACACAAACACTATGAAATCACTACCAGGCAATCAAACCTACCACTTACTGTAAAGCACCTGATGGCTACCCATTAACTGCGATCCACTTCTACAAGCATGCTTATTTGTTCTATTCTTGAACAGACTCTTTTTGCTAACCTAGTCAATCAATACACTCCCACTGCACTTGTACTGTTTACAATGTCATTATTCCTAGCAGATGTAATATCAGAGAATTGGCAACTGTCATTTTGGTTTCAACAACAGAAGCTGATTAATCTTGATTTAGAAATCGCGAGCCTTGGCACCATGTTAAAGTTAGTTCATTGCAACTAAGTGATCAAGATTCAAGTCATGAAAATTGCTTTCCATATGCAGATAAAGCTCCATATGTTGACCATTCTTAAATCCCATATTGGCAGGAGCCTTGAGTATTAAGCTACCCTTTTAGCCAAACCGAGTTCAGATCATTAGTTACCATTTACTAGCCTCCAACAAATCCTTTGACTAAAAAGTTTATAAGGTACATGCAAATGGTAGCACAGAGAAGAGCAAAACCTGAGAATGGAAGCAACAATAACTCAGGAATTTACTTTGCTGAAGTAAAGAAAAACTGATTCACTAAACAGTAGTGAAAGATTTCTGCAGACCTAAACTTTTACAAACCTCAAAACTTCATCATCATTGTCCAAGATCTATCACATCAAAAATGGGCTCTACTATGAACAACATAAAAGAAGGCAAGACAGAAGACTGAAAATGTCATGATCACCTGCCATTGCCATAACTCCTTTAAAGTTGTGCAAATTTCTCAATAATGAAATTAGAAGCAGAAGAACCTCACAGTGGTTATTCTACAAACCACAACTTAAGCTTATTCAAGCAAGAGGGTTGCTGCTGATTACTGTGCCAAATCCAGGAATTCTGTAATGCAAATTCTAGACTAATAGGGTTTCTGTTGACATAATTAAGTTGTGGCAGAACTTCAGTTGGCAGAAAGCACGTGGCAGCATACAGGAAAATGTGTATAACAAATCTTGATCCTTGCACAATAAAATGTTAAACAAGATAAAGCACACACACTGAAATGTGATTCAGGCATATTCATATATCTAACATTAGTGATCAGACGAGAATGCAACCAAACAGTACAAAATGAAGTAAATTTAAGTACTAAAATTAAAATCCTCTCGATGCCCTTGTCAAATATATCATTTAATCAAAACAATGATCATATTTCAAACAACTCAATACTTGAACCTTAGATATACAGCAATAATCACAATTCTGCTGAATTTACACTGCTGCAAGTTCACTAAAAGAAAAAAAAAAGGTAATTATGAATTTTCTTACAAGTGTAAAGAATTCAATGTCTTGGCTCCTCTTTGGAGAGTAATTTCGTATGTCCTGTCACAAAGATCTTGCAAAAACAATTCCAAAGCTTTTGCTGGCAGCCAGTCAACAAAGAATAGATCAGCTACTAATAAATGGCTACTATTATCACAAACAAAAGAGAAAAACTAAAATCTTTTGAAAATAAGAAACCAAAGTATTGGATAAGTTCTATCTATGCTTTCATGATAGGCATTTTGGCTCTGAAAAGTAAATTATTATTTCACCAACTTGCACACAAAAAAGAAAGTAACATTAGCCATGGGAGCATAACAAATGACACACCATTACAGATGAATCGAAGGCCTACATGTATTCCTGAGGAATAACAATACAGAAATTACGAGATTCCCTAGAATTCTCGCAAAAAACCACTCATTCAAGTAGTCCCTCATGGAACAAACACTGACTTCCTTTGAAAAATCTCCAATCCAATACACTGTAATCTAAAACTACACGCACTAAAAGAACTGTTAAATAGAGAGTAATACTTTAATTCTTCAGCAAGACAAGACTTCCTTCAAAATTAAGCCTTAAGAAGTAATGAAAATTTGTCATTCCTTTCCCTAAACTGATCATGAATTTAGACCACGAATTAAATTGCAACTTCACTAGATTAAGCATTGTTCCAAGTACTTGTTTCCTTCAATACTATTCAGTAAAGGCCGAATCAAGCTGATATATGCAGATTGTAGAGGAAAAATTCCGCTAAATTCTAGCTAAGAAGAATAATCATCACAAAACAAATAGACTATCTTTGCGATGTCGAAGCAAAACATAACTTTAATGAAGGAATAAAAAGAACAATCAGCAAGTAAAGGAAGCTATGCAAGTTCGTAACTTTTATATATTAAATGGGATGAGATACTTTGCTTAGTCAGATACAGAAAAATATCCTAGTGCATGACAAATTATAGAATATGGAATTACACAAAAACTTACAAACAAGAATAGGCACAGCCAACGCGATTTTGCCAACATCTTCATCCGCTTGCATTATCTTCTTTATTCGTGACTGTTAGAGCAAAATCAAACAAAATCCATCAGTTCCACATCAATGCCCAATGATAAAGCACCGATTTTACCAGTAGCACAAGGCTCTCGATCAGAAATTAGGTCGTGTCTGCAATTTGACCGTGGTTAAGGGATAAAAAGAGCATAATGATAGCAGCAGAAGAACGAATCAACGAGATTGGAGTTTAGGATTTCATCAATCAAACAGGCCATTAAGCAAACTGGATATTCCAAAGCAGAACGGCCAGTTTACAAATCAAACGACATCTCCATCAAAGAACCTCCGCGGTACCAGCAAAACGCAGTTTCATACGAGGCAAAAAAGAAGGGGAATGATCAAACAAGGGAAAATTACCGCAGGGAATCTTGTGCCGAGCTTCTTCCTCATATCCTAAATCCTACTCTGTTTCCTGCTTAAAGTATAGATCTAGACCGCCCTGGAGATCGGGCAAGGATTAGAAAGGGGAAATCAACGCGAAAGCAAGACCGGTCGCCGGTAAATGCCGTGGCCTTCGATCGTGATCTATCAATCCATCGACCGATCGCCTTCTTCCACTTCTCACTCTCGAATTCAGCAGAACGCGAGTCTCGGATCGGGCTCGAACGAGAATCGGAGCACCGTCGCCGACCCTTTCCCCTTCTTTAAATTTCTTCCAATTTAGGGTTTTTTTTTCTTTCTTTTCTTTATTAGTCAGAATAACTAGGCCAGATAATGGACACGTGGCCACATCCAACCGTGTGGTGATAACGGTTCTGCCGTTGGATTAGGTTGTGATGTTGACAATTTTCAATTCAGTCCTTTAACTTTGATTTTATTTATTATGACTTTCTGAATATGAATTAATGTTTCGATCTCGTCCGACCTTTTGATTCTACTGAAATCGAAAATTAATTATGTCAAATTGGACATAATTACTTATAAAAACAATAAGTATACTGTTGGAAAATTATAAGTATACAATAAGTTCACTTATTAATCAAATTATAATTAATTATTTTGGATATATATTTGCAAATTTAACTCGTTTTTCCTTTTATCTACTCTTACCTGTCACAGACTAGTATTTCTAGTACAAATACGTCTCTTGTACGAAGTGGTAGATTAGGACAAATCCAAGGGACAGGGATAGGGATTAATAAAAGGGTATACGGAGACTCCAAAGACACATTAATGTATACGGCTCTTGATCTCCGTACATCTTGATAATTCTACGGTGATGGCTTTATTGGACTTGATGGTAATTAACTGCTCCATCAGGGGCCATCATCCGGCTAATTCGACCCTAAGCCGGAAGAAGACCAGTTCGCCCGCTCCCTCGCGAGTTGCAGTATATAAGAAGCGGTCGGCGGCTAAACCTTCTCCAGGGCGGAAAGGAAGTATACAAGCCGTAGGGGGCGACGAGAGGCGGCGGGACCGAGGTAGGGGAGTGGAGGGAACCCACTTAATCTTGTTCTTTCTTTGTGTTCTGTTGTCTCCGTTGCTTGATTCGGTCGTGGTTGCTCTCCCTGGCAGTCCAGCTCTTTTTGGGTCCTATCTTCTCAAAATGATTTCTTGGTTTCCATTTCTGTGATTTCGTTCGGTTTTTATTTTGGAATTGTTGGTTCTATATGCTGTAGCGGGAGTTTTCTTTTTCCCGTTCGAACGTAGGTGTTGGTGTTTCCTTTTCTTTCTTGTGTTGGATTTATGATGAGTGGTCTGAGGTTTTTATCGGTTTGTGTAGTTTTATCGCTCAAATTTTTAATTTTTATGGTTTTTGGTGGATGGGAAGATGGATCGGTACCAGAGGGTGGAGAAACCAAGGGAGGAGACCCCGATTAACGAAAATGAGATCCGTATCACGTCTCAGGGGAGGATGCGCAACTACATCACGTATGCCACCAGCATGCTTCAGGTATGCGCCATCTGAAAGAAAAAAAAAAGATACTTTTTTTGAGTCTTGTAGTTTTGTTTCAGGTTTGCCGTTTATTGTTCTTTTGATCATAATACTAGTTTATGGGAGATTAAGAAGCTCTACTGATGATATTGTGCGGAAGCAAGATTATGAAATATACTCTACTAACATTTAAGCTTGAATGGTGGTTACTGTAACGACCCACAATATAAATGTCCTTTCTAAAGGCCCAGTGCATGTAAATTAGTTGTCTAAGTTATTTTTCTCCTTGTGTATATCCTGGTCATTGTTGCAATATTCAGTGGTCTGCAACCGTTTCATATCGTCCATCTAGATTTATACAAGAGAAAAGCAACATGAGTAGTAGTTATATCTCTTGAAAATTAAAATGTCAGCTCATCTAATTTTATTTTTCAATGGCATGTAGGTTATGTTTTCAGAAAGAACCAATATGTTTAATGCTTATGCTTAACTGACTAAATTTACTTTCACAAATTTTCCTGGTGGCGACAATGATGAATTGGCTTAAGTGGACTTCAAAATTGCAAATAATAGTACTTAGATCAGCTCAGCATGTTTTGTCTTATATGCATTAGTATCAAGTAAAGCTTCTCAGGTTGGCTGTTTATAGTATTTCTAAAATATTTTTGTGTTCACTTCCAAAGGAAAAAGATTCAAATGAAATCATCTTGAAGGCAATGGGTAGAGCTATCGACAAGACTATTATGATTGTGGAACTGATCAAGTTATTAGCTTTCGGTGATCTGCTTTATTCTCTAGCTCTCAAGGATTAATTGTGTTATACACAAGAATCTTATTGGTTTTCTGGTAAATTCAATTATGCTTATTCTTTTTCCCAATTAAATGAGAATAAGTGTTTGAAACTCCCACTTTTTTGTTTCATTATAATGATGACACAGAGAAGGATAGTTGATCTACATCAAAATACAGCTATTGGATCTGCTGACATAACTGATACATGGGAACCATTAGAGGAAGGCTTACTTCTGTAAGAAGACTTACTTTTAATGTCAAAACATCAAAGTTTTCATGGATGTTGGCATGTCCATAACTTGCAAAGTTAGATGTATTTTTCCATGTTTAAACATTGAAAATTTTCGTTTTTTATATCTTACTGTTATTATTTGCAGGCTTGAGACAACTAGACATGTCTCTGTGATCAGTATAACTTTGTCAAAGAAAGAGCTGGATACATCTGCTGTTGGGTTAGTTCAACAGGCATCTCCTTATTCTTTTGGAGCATATGTGCTGAAATTTGAAGATATAATAATAAACAATTTATACTTTTCTCCTTGACTTACACATTAGCACCACATACAAGTCATTACAAGTTTTTCTCTTCCCCCACGGCGGGAGCTTCTTTTGGAGTTAAACAGTTGTGTGATATCTGTTAATTAATATTTTCTTCTCTTTGCTCTATGGCCTTGAGTCTCAAATTATGTAGGTTTGCTACAAAGTTTGTTGTTATACTTGTCGTGTTTCTTGGATGTTCATTTGTTACTCTGGCACTATTATTGGAATAGATATAACTTCATTACAAGTGAAAGTATTTTATTATTGTAAGTCATGCAAATATCTCTTTTTTTTTTGGTATTTGCTCCACATGTTTGGTCAGTAAGTCATTATTTTGGGCTTGTGTGCCTGTGCTTTTGAGTTGAAATCCTTTATTAAACAGTTAAGTTGTACACCAACCAAAATATATTGAGGCAAGAAAACTGGTATAAGAGTAACCTAGTCATAGTGGGAGGTAACTTGGAAGTGCATTAGTTAGTTGTTTGCTTTAATTTTCAGAAGTTTCAAAATCAAATTATTTCTTGCTTATATTTGCCACTAGACTTCTTTTATTTCCATGTTCCGCTAGTATTGATCTTAAACTTGTTTATTGATTTGGAGCATCCATCCTGTTTTGTTTTGCAAAATGTGTCTCTTGTAACAAAAAGAGATAGTGAGCTTCGACTCCTACTCTCTTAAAAATGTATTTAAAGCTATAAATATGGCCCTTTCTAACTTGTGAATAGAGGTTCTTACTTCTAGCTTTGACTCTGAGTGTTGGATGGTTGATAAGTAATGTGTCCAAAAAATGTTTGTATCACTAAGATAAAAATGTTGAGATGAATGTGTTGTTTGTCTAAGGAAGAAAGAAAAAGAACTATTTTCTTTCATGAACAATTAGACATGCCTTCAATTGCAAATAAAATGAGGTTGAATCATTCGGATGGTATAGGCACGCTCTAAGGAGATCTATAGATGTTGTTAGATGACGTGAGATAATTATTAATACTGGTGTGTGAAATAGAGGGAGACTCAAAAGGATTTTATTAGTGACTATAAATAAAGATTTAAATGATTTTGATTTAACTAAGGATATTACCTTATACAGGACTCAATTGACAGAAAATGATCCATGTAGTCAACCCCAATTAGTTGGGAACTCATGACTTGTTTTTATTGTATTCAAGTTTCTTTCAAACTTTGTGTAGGCTGACCGCTCAGTATTGATATGTCAATGTACTAAATGACCTCTCAGTATTGATATGTCTATGTATGACATTTGAGTATGAAGTCTATTAACATGGCTACTAGGTTGAAGCTTATGCTGGTTAGGCTTTATGAATTAGCATCCAGCTTTTGTCCTCAAAGCATCTCTGCACTTTAATGGAGATGTGTTGAACAAGTCTGTCAAAATTAGCTTCATTTATATTATTCCTACTTTTGCTATATTTAAAAACTTGTCTTTTACCGATTGCCTGATTTGTGGCTTTCCAAGAACTTTCTTGGAGAAACTAGGAGTTGAAGGAAACATTATTTTACCATCTAACCAGCAATTGTCATCTTCCAATTTATTGCATGCCTTGTAATTCCTTCCTCCATTTATTCAGTAAGATCCATTCAAGATCCACTTTGGGAGTAAATAAAATAACCTGGATGGGATGACTAATCTTATTTTCATATTATGAATCATAAGTGCATTAGAGGCTCAAGAGAGGAAATGATTTAAGATATTTTCCTTTCTAGATTTCCCTTATCATAATAACTTTCCTTTAGATTTCCTTTAGTTTTAGACTTCATATTGACTAGCCATTATTTCTTTCCCTAGGTTTCAACCTCCATTGCCCAAAGATGAGGTTAAACACTAGGGTGAATTCAGCTATGGAGGAGGTATTTTGTAAACTTCACTCTACAATATTTATTTAGATAATTTTCATGCAATTTTCTCTGACAACTTATTTACAAACGCAGAGGGCTCACCTGTGAGTCGAGGTAGAGGCCACGGTGGCCGTGGCAGGGGAAGGGCTTATGGTAATTATGATGGTCAGGAAGATTTTTTATTCAGCAATTATATCTATGTTCTGTATATTTTGTTGTGCCCATTCTGTAATATGTAATTCTCATGGGTTCCTTTGTGTTATATGTTCAGGAGATGATACGGCGGATTATGGTGATGGAAGCTGGGACAACAAGGAACGTGGATACGGTAGAGGCGGCTATTTCCGTGGCAGAGGCCGAGGTTTCCGTGGCAGAGGTGGTTATGGTGGCCAGCCTGATTTTCAGCAGGAAACCAATGGCAATGACAATGAGGGTTCTATTCCTGTTCGGGGCAGAGGTAAGTTTCTCTCAGGCTTATAAGATTGGTTAACAGTCAAATTCGTGAAGACCATCCTAATGAAACATGGGCTGTGTTTGGAAAGTTCCTAATGGATCCATCTTAATCCTTTCGCATCAGTTCAGTAGGTTTTTCATGATCAAGTGGGTCTATGTCTGAACATTGTTGAGGATGATTAATTTTGTGGTCGTGGTAGGGGCCAAACCCGAGGATGGGGTTGAAATTCTCAACCGAACTGTCACGACTTTAGTTGGAATTGCCTAAGGCGTGAGGCACCCTTGCGGCCAAAGACGCGAACTTAGCTTGCGTTGCCTAAGTCGCGAGTCACCCTTGTGGCAAAGACGCGAACTTAGCTTGCGTTGCCTAAGCCGCGCTTCGCCCTTGCGATCTTGCTCCGCAAGGATCAGCCCACTTTGTAACCTTTCGCAGGTCCCGAAGGACCTGTAAAAGAGAAAGAAGTTAGTTCGAAAGAACGAGCAACAGACAAGTCCCGAAGTCTCGCGAAAAGGGAAGCTTTACAAGCAATTCGTCGAACACCTTGTGTGCACAAGAGAAAAGAGGGAGAGGGAGAAAAACAAGGCTTTCAAGGATGAACGAACAGCTGCAAGCCCACAAACAGCCGCTCACCTGGTCCCGGGCGCAAAACCAAGTTCCCGTAAAGGTCACGTGCGAACTTGCGAAAGAGAGTTCAACGCCCGGTATATAACCGAAGCCCCATCCGG